ATCACATTGGCGGGGACTCACTCTACATACTTACTGCATTTGTCTAATCTTTATTATGTCACATTAGCTGTGCTAAGGGTAATTTTGGCTAACCTAGCTAGGATATGTATGCGTATAGCAAGGGTGAGCTGTGGCATACGATAAAGCAAAAACCCACACAAAAATCCTAAAATCCTCGGAAATACACACCGCCACGGCGTCATACTCTCAAAATTAAACTCTCCCATTATGTGATATATTACAGAATATTGGGAGTATTTACTAGGAAAAAAACAAGAGGTGCACAAGCCGCCTGTCAGCCCTTACACCCTCCAACCCTTCATCCATGGGGCAGTGTGGTGCCGCTGCTGGCGCCATCAATGTTTCCCAATGCAGCAGCCAGGGCACGGACTACATCCCGCGAGTCCACCAAGGCGTCTATGTCCTATTCTGGGTTGCGGTCCAGGAACTTAATACAAATACGCAGCCCCTTCTGGAACTTAATTCAAGTTACTATATGGGGGAAGACACACTAATTCCTATACAGACCCATTACGGTAACTTAATTCAAATTCCTTAACAGCAACCCAGCCTATTTCAAGGGAAGTCTTGCGGCAGGCCGCAAGGCATTGTTGTGCTCAGGATAGCTCTAATAAGGGCGTTCGTGAGACCCAGGGCCATAATATGAATAACAGCAGACAACAACCATCACCAGAATGAAACAACCCAGCTGAATTCTGAATTCACTTCAACTTCCCCCCCCTCAACCAAAAAAAAAAAACGCCCATCTATCGTGCCCGACAGCCCAGACAGAACCTCCAATCCTGGCATCAAGGCGGGCGCCGTTCATGATTCCCTGGTGTCCTTGATAGCAAGGCAGCCATGCTCGGCGGCGGCCATACCTTGACGAGTAATGACTTGAGAAATTTGGGAAGCTCGACAGGTTCACCCCTCGCCCTCAGCAGAAGAGTTTGTAGGTTATTTTCAGTTCACCGCCACAGGCCTGCGATTGAATTGGGACAATTTAGCCCATGCTTCCTACTTCTGTGGCTTTCACACGGACTTCAGGCCTGAGGTACTCATCGAACCGCTTTACTTACCCAGGAGTATAATATCTGAGTCACGACCAGGGTTGCGGATGCCCAACATGTGCGCACAAAGTAACGTCGCTCTGAAGGAGATAGCGTGCCAGCATGAACCTACCAGCAATTCAAGCGGCATTTGACAAAGTGCTTTAACTCCAATGTTACTACAACACGGCGCGACGTACTACCCACCAAGGCATACTTTTACAACTTCCTGCTGCAGTAGCATTGAAGAACCCTAAACCCTATTATTCTATCTACTTAAGGTGGACTATAACCCTAAACCCTAAACCCTAAAGGATGGTAGTCCGGTTCAGGAGCCTCAGTAAAGGACCAAGCCACGGCCGGAGATGATATCGGTGGGATCGCCTTTGTCTGCCAGCTCTTGGGCATCAACCTTTCAGGTCTAAGCTTTCTTGAGCTAGGGCCTAGGGTTATGTAGGGGTATAATATAGGATTTGTATAGGGACAATGGAAAATGAAATATATGGGCTTCGGGAGAAAAATTGTGCATCAGATGTTGCAGATATAGGAGGCTGCGCAAAAGTTCTAATTCTGAGTCAAGTTGACTAGACCAGGGCCTCCGCCTAGGCCCTAAACCCTAAACCCTGGTCTGGAAATCCCGGAGAACTATAATTCTGGATGCTAGGGCGCTGTTGGCAGCTCCCCTCTTCTCTGCAGCTGTCAAACTCTCCAGGCCCACTGTCAAGACGCATATGAGCCGTAGTGTAAATGTCTAGTATCCCCCTTTATAACCCCGAAAATAATCCCCTATATAATCCCCTATGTAACCCCCTTTAAGGAGTTTCACTATAGCTCACATAAGCCTGCATCGCATCTTCATACATTCCTTTTCCAATCCATGCCTCTGAGCAGGAATTATCCGAATAATTATTGGCAAGCAGCCCAAACCACTTCTTCACGACTGATTGCACCAGCTGCTCTCAAAAAGCAGGTTGCCAAACGAACAAACGTCTCTCGACCCGCGCCTGCCCAGGAAGAGCGGCTGACACTACTTCCGATTCAGGCTGCAAGTTGAACCTAAGGGCTCTCAGGCTTTAGGGTTCATGAGTCTACAGGCACAAAGCTTGGGATCATGCATGATCATGCCAGTCACATGCTGACTTCATGACGGCGCCACAAGACTTAAAAGCCACCTTGCAAACTCCATCGTAGCCCGAATCAAGCCCTCAACCTGTAAGGAGAACATCTGAAAACCTCAGCCTGCCTGAACGGCAAGCTGAATATGGCAGCAAGTTTTCTGGCTAACAGCTAGCACACCCTCTGCCTTAGTATCCAAAGGTCCCACGCTCGTCAACATACTTGCAACGCAGATTTGATATCAGCCTGCATTCGCAGCAACGCAGAGTGCCCGCGGCATGTGCAAAGCACCAGCCAACGCAGCTGAACCTCGCAGGGCGCATGCTTTTTGAGACTGCGTTGCTGCGAAGGAACTTAAGTCAAGTTACTATAACAAGGAAACCCAATTATCTACTATGTACCACATTATGGTAACTTGATTCAAGTGCTTCAACGGCAACCCAGTCTTTGAGAACACGCCGTTGGGTGTCGAGCGTGGGGTCAGGGTCCAGGGCTGTGCAAAATGCACAGGCCGTTCAAACATGGTTTGTGCGAAGCACGGCGGAACCTGACATGCTACACACGCGTCCTGAGAGCAGAAATCTGTCCTAATGTGTGGATAGCAGAACTGGGAACCTCAGGGGAAATGTCCCAATGTTGGATGTGGGGCCGGGCCTGGCCCCAAATCTAGTGGCAACATGACTTGGAACACGCTAGCTCGATCCTGGAGACTCTTCAGACCCAAGACATCCTCAAACTCCTGAGATCGTAAAACACAACTATGTGATTGGCGGATTTGTTGCCACGTGCTCACCCCATAACTTGAATGTCTTCGTGCCTAGGGCAAAACCTTTAAAGCGAAGCCCTTCTTACACGGACCGCCAACAAAGGATATCAATTCTTGGAAATCCTCGTTTTGCATCTGCACCCTCCGAAAGAAACCCTAAGCCCTATAAACCACTACACTGTCCCAGTTACCACTTCAGGTAGCATGCACTTTTCTGTTTGGGTCTCCACTGTTGCCCTAAAACCCTTAACCCCCCAATACCCGCATGAGAAAACCCATAGCCCCTTTAAACGGAACCTGAATAACCCCTGTACACTACCTTGCTTGGGTATCATCTGGGTTGCTGTCAAGGAACGTAAATTAATTTAGCACAACTGAGATGTGCAGTAAATAATCGGGTTTCCTTCCTGTGGTAGCATACTTTAAGTTCCTCAACAGCAACCCAGCGGGTAATTCTCAACATTATGGGCCCCCCTTTGGTAAAAGATTATACTGCGGCACCTGGATGATTGGAGAAACACGCACGCAGAACCTCTTGTGGTCAGAGCACTTAGAGCACTTATCCAGGATGCGATTACCCTGAGTAATGCTCAACGCATGCCCGGATTCCTCCAGGAGATGCCATTTTCGTACCCCACCCCTACGACGTATGGGCTTTCGCCCCGTTTCGTTCTGTCAATATTTAGGGGTACCGAAATGGGACCCTAATTTTGGGAACTACCCCAAGTGTCATTGAGGCCTCCCGCAGCTGCAGCCACCGCACCGCTCCCCCTCGGTCCGGTGCCACCCAGCTGGCGGCGAAGCTGGGCGAAGAAGTGCCGCGCACTGCCGGCGTCCTGCTTTCGGGAATAGGCTACTACATCATCTGGGGATCAGACTTTAGGGATACTTGAGGGTAACTTAACTTTAGGGATGGTGGGGAACCAAATGGAAGAGGGAATATAAAAATTGAAATTACATGGAAACTGGGTTTACACGCAATTTTTTATAGATCAGAGTTTCTAAGGCCTAGTTGGAAGGTAAGCGAGTAAGATAATTATCGGAGTAACTGTGGTTGGCTTTTGGGACTGATACATATACTTACTATGTATTCCCCCCACGCTCCAAGTTTAGGAGTTATAGGATGGTTGAGGGCTCTACTCCATAGAGTTCAGGGTTCAGGGGTGTGGGGATTTGTTGGGGATTCTGTAGGGTCTTCAATGTTGAAGATGGATTTAGTTATAAAGGTTGCCAGCTAGTTACGGGCGGGGTTACATGCGCCCACTGCAGGGTTCCCCATGAACCAACTGGTCACGTGTATGACTTAAGGTTCGGACTTGAGGGCGAGGGCTTCACGAGCAAAAGCGACAAAGTTTTCGTAGCTGCAATAACAGTACCGCAGGCACAAGCAAGGCTTCATCTGCGCTCCCCCTGTCTTTGTCTGATGGCCACTGCGTTCCCATCAGTGCTACTGTTATTTTGCCCTACAGAGCTGCGGTAGCCGTCCAACAGGCAGAGTAGACCTCGTGCCTTATGCCAAGACGTCACGCAGGGGCCCTGAAGCTTCACAAGCTCCCAAACCTGAACTCCAAATCCTAGGCCTGAATCCCAATGGGCCACGCAGGAGTTCCCCATATGAGCTATAGTCTAAACTCCTTAAAGTGAATTATGTGGGAGAGTATTATATGGCTTATGAAGCGGGATACTAGGAGTTTAGACTATAGCTCATATAATCCCTATAAATCCTCCATAATCCCAGGTGGCTTTTCATGCTCCATGTTATTCTCCATTTCCTTCTCCACTACTGGGTGGTGATAACCCTACATAATCCTAATATAACCCCATATACCCTATATATGTACCCATTATGATAACTTAATTGTAGCGTAACATACCCTATAGTCCGAAACCCTAAACCCTAAGCCCTCAACCCTAAACCCTAAAGCCCCTGTCCTCCTCAGATCCCCAGCCAACCAGTTGGGTGACCTCTGCTTCCACCTCCCTCATACGGCGTTCCCGCTGCTCGGCTGTTAGCACGTCCTTGCTTGGAGGAGCATGTATAATTAGGGATGTGTGCAGTGTGTGTGTGTGTGTTTATGTGCATATGGGTTCGGTTTCTCGAAAATGTGGGCCAGTCAGCTGTGCTAGGGCATCCACAATTCAAATCACGCTTGGGATCAGCAGTATGCCCATACTTATGAATACTGATGATGTGAAGACAGGTGGTGGCAGCACAAACGGCAGATTTGCAACATTTAGAGATCCGCATGCCAACCGCATCAACATCCCATCCAGCAGCAAATTTCCGTCCAAGCCGCCAAAATGTGAGGCTTGCACAACATAGAACAGCATGACAGACTCCTCGAAACCTCCCTCCGAGAAACTCAGAATGCCCCACATTATTCGTGTGACTTCAGTCACTCGGAATGCATGATAAGCCATCCAAAAATACTCTCGCGAACCCATTTTGCACCTCGGTTCGTGCTGTCGGAACATCAAACCGCTTTCAAAACCTGAGATCTCAATCTAAAGTCCCCAGACACGCAACTGATTCTTGATGATACTTAGGATTGTAGTCACAAGAATGATGCGAAACGGATGACCATAGTTTCCTCCCGTGTACTAGTACACTAGCCGAAACCAGATTTCAAGTGAACTTCTGAACTCTGGAAGTTAATCCGCAGAACTACTTGCTGCTGCTGCTGCTGCTGCTGCTGCTGCTGCTGCTGCGGCTGCTGCTGCTGCTGCTGCTGCTGCTGCTGCGGCTGCTGCTGCTGCGGCGGCTGCTGCTGCTGCTGCTGCTGCAAAGACACTTTTACTACCGCGTCGAATGCTCCTGGGTCTTTCACTGCCTTTCTGTTTCTCCTCCTTCTTACTACTCCTTGTCCTAGGTCTGCCACTGCCACTGACCTACCTCTACTTCTACCTCGACTTCTTCCTCTTCCTCCTACCGACCCCGTCATGTAACCCTTACCTTAAACTCCCCTCCGAGGCACCAGGCCGAAATCCATGGGAGTCAGCCTGGGTTGCTGCTTGGGAACTTAAATTCAAGCTACAATAATGGCAAAACCGATCAGTTGCTATATACCCATATAATGATAACTCAAGCCCTACACCCTATATCCCTTTATAACCCCTATAGTCCCTGTATAGTCCCTACATATCCATACTACAGCAACTTAAACTTAAGTTCCCCTACTAATAGCCCTAATATAACCCCAATATAACCCTAATATAACCCCAATAAACTTAAGTTCCTTAACAGCAACTCAGAAGCCGGAAGCGCTCGGAAGAGTCCAAAGAATCGGCCCAGGTCCGGTCGTTTTTCCGACTGATGGCCAGGTCCTGTTAAGGGACGTAGGCTTTAGGGTTGTAGGGTTTAGGGTTTGGGGTTTAGGGTTTGGAGTTTAGGGTTTAAGGTTTTAAGGTTTTAAGGTTTTAAGGTTTGGGGCTTCAAGACTAAGATTAAGTTACCCACATATATATAGGGACTATACGGGGGTTATATAAGGACAAAAGTTGAAAACTTGGAACTTGGGGCTGTAGGTCCTAGAAGTAGTCCAGGGTTGAGGGTATGGGACTTAGGACTTAGGATGACTTCCTGTTCTTTAAGCTTTGGTGGTTTACTTGCCGAGGATCAAGTTTAAACTTCAGGGGCTTTGCCACGAGCATCGGACAAAGAAGCGGAAGGTGATTACAGGGGCTTCATGTCGAGGTCACAGAAAGCCTCTAGGATTAGTTCATGTGCTCAGCGGTCTTGTTGTTCAGGGATTTGCGCAATCAAGTTGGTCAAGGGGAGACGGGTCTGAGGGATCAGGAAAACTTTGCTCTTAGGGTTTAGGACTTTTTGCGTCTGGAGTTTGCAACCTTGGCAATCCGAACTTGGTTGCAACGGTGGCAGCAACGGCCGCAGCAGCAGCGGCGGCGGCAGCAGCGGCGGCAGCAGCGGCAGCAGCGGCGGCAGCAGCGGCGGCAGCAGCGGCGGCAGCAGCAGCGGCAGCATCGGCAGCGGCAGCAGCGGCAGTCGTGGCGGAGCTGTGGGAGTGCGTGGCGGCATGAAGTCCGTACTCACAGCCCGTGCATTTAAAACACATCTGTACTCATCCGAGCGTCCAGGACATCGCGCGCCAGATGGCCGTTCTTCTCGCGAATCAGCTTCTCATCAAAGCGCTGGCGGACCTGGCTCCACTTAGGGTTTCATGAAAAGGCAAGACACAATCACAAGCCCTCAAAATCGCCTTCCTCCATTTGACATAAACCTCCCATCCCCTATTATCATCACTCCAGCATGATAGCATTATCTTTTTTTGGAATTATTTGGAATCTAGCTAAGGGCGTGAGTCAGCTCATGAATTTTGGGGGGTGCTTACCAAGCTTGTCCGACGGAGCGGCGATGTGCTCCAGGACTGTGGTGAGCTGTTTCGTGCCAACATCGCCCTCGCCTTTGGTGGCCGCCAATGCTTGCAGTACGCAAGCTTTGGGTTTGAAGGTTTTAGGTTGACTGGGTACGGACTTCTAAGGATTCTAGCGGCTACAAGGATAAGTGCACCAGAGTCTAGCAAACTTTAAAGCATTGATTGGCAGAGTCTCCACATCGAATTAATGTTAGGGGTGAGCAGCCCTGGTAATGATGTCCACCTCCCAAACATGGCATATTCCCCAAACAAACATGATTAAAGAGTGACAGTACCATTAGGAGATCATGAAGTCATGGGAGTTCAACGGCGATCCGCGGAAAGATGTCACGGGATTTTCTGTTGATTCGAAATTCGGGTTTGGGCTTCGGGGTTTCGCCTGGTAAAATCAAGCATGCAGGGAGCTAGATGCACCTCACAAGGGAATGTACACTGCACCGACGTCCTTGATAATTTGGAACCTAATCCGAAAGCATGCCCAAACAAAGAGGCTTCTGACTGCAGTCCAGGCTACCTACACCTTCGTACCCACGCTTCTCCACCTCTGCCTGGGTCAGGGTACAGCTATGACTTGCGACGGTGCGGGCGCTGCGGGTTTCTCAAAATCGGAGGGCCTTAGGGAACCTGGAGATGGGGTCCTCATGAAGGACTATGAAAGGGATCCCGTTGAGTACCCCTATGTTTGATTTGGTGCTGACATGCTCATTTCATTTTGATCCGCAAGTCCGCCTAAGCCAGGGAGGCACTCAGACTTGAAGCATACAGTGTGACATCAACGTGATAAGCCCTCATATGTTCTCGTTCTTTTGTCTTAGTCCTTGCTGTGAGGTGTCACTATGGGGGCCCATTTTGGGGAAGCACAAGAAACCGCAAACTCCTGCGTGGTTCGTCTGTACTGCCTCCGAACATCCCTGCCCACTCAACTCGAGGTGATCTGCAAGAAATGCCTATCACGGGGTCCTGAGCTCGAATCATACTTAGTAGGTCATGAGCGATCATATCTGGGACTCCTGGATAACTAGGGCCTCTAGTCATGACATGTTGCGACCTTTTGTAGCTACATATACCTGGGATTATCTGCATACCTAGGACAAGGAGGGTCATAAGTGATTGCGATCCTATTTCTGACACTGAAAACCTATGGTCAAATGTGGGCCCAGCGGCAGCTATCAGCATGGCCACATCCGTTGGACTCAACGTTGGGAGAACCAGTAGGTCCTACAGTTCAATGACTCAAAGCACACTTGGAGGTTCGTGGGCAGCTTTAATTGGGGATAAAGTAATGATAACTGAAGTCATAACTACGAAAAATGCTTTTAATGCTGACAACTTCTAAGTCTACTGATAGCACCCATGAGTAGCCTTTGCCAAACACCCATATATGTATATATACACTTTCTAGGGAACCATCTTATCCCTACAATTCACCCGTATAGTTCCTACCGAGCACCCATCTTATCCCTACAGCGTGAAGAACCCCTTAAGTAGATAGAACACAGAACTGCCCAATTTCGCAGTGAGATCCCCACATGTCTCCTGTTCTATCTACTTAAGGGGGGCCATCCCACAAACCCTAAACCCTAAACCCCTAAACCCCTGAACCTTTAAACCCTAAACCCTAAACCCCTAAACCCTAAGACGTATATCTCCTTAAGGGGGACTGTACGTACTCTGTCTTTCTTTTGCCCCGGCGGTCCGGCTGACGGCGGCGGAAGGCCGAGAGCTGCCTCTGCCAAGGAATGACTCACGCGGTGGTTAGTAGGGAAAAAGGGAATAGATATAGGGTTTAGGGTTTAGGGTATAGGGTTTAGGGTATAGGGTTTAGGGTTTAGGGTATAGGGTTTAGAGTTTAGGGTTTAGGGTATAGGGTTTAGGGTTGGGGGTTAAAGGGTTTAGACACGCGAGGGTTTAGGGTTTAGGGCTTTAGTATTATTGAAGAAGGGTATATATATACTGTAGGGATTATACAGGGATTGCATACCCTTACTCCCTACTTAGCACCAGTGAGTTGCAGGCCGGGAAGGAAGTTAGGTGTGTTTTAAAGGAATGTCAAGCATGGAGTCACCAGGCGGGTATCCCTACATGAGGCTTACAGAAGGCTTAGATGAGGGGAGGGGACTCGGAGGTATATAAAGGCTACTGAAATTTGCTCAGAGTACTGTTGAGGATTCCAGTGTGGACTAGGGCGCACATTGAGTTTTCAGGTTTTTCGCGAGATTCTTCCATGGTTCTAGGGGTGTTGGTTGAAGGCCCTTTCGGCAGCAAATTGCCCTGCTGAGGCTAATGGTGTCTACAATGGGTCTTTGCTCCATCTTGGTGGCGGGGCTCAGTCGCCAAGCAGTTTGTCGTATGAGCTAGAGTAAAACCTTTTTAAAACGGGATTACATAGGAGAGCACTATAGCGGTTCTGTCGGGATACATAGGAGTTTAGACGATAGCTGATACGAGCCATCACCTGAAAGTCCAGAAGGGTACTATCCAGGGGTTCTTTCGCATGTCGTAGTACGCTGTTTAAAGGAATGATGCTCCTCATTTTGGTAATGAAGCCTAGCCGTTTAACTTAAGCCTATACCACGTTGTTCTCAGCAGTCCTGAGTCCCGTGAATAGGCGTTTGGATGTCTCAAACCAGAGTGCGCATTGGGGATCCTACAAGAATCTATTTGAATTAGAAGGTCCCTATCCAGGGGAACACATGATGCTCTAGGTCATGTTGGGGGGCTAAAACACATTCGCTGTGGTGATGGGGATTATGCTATTTATGACTTGATCCCTAAACCCGGCAGATGACCTGCTAACAGCATGTGCCAAAGCTTTGGGAATAATAATCTGGTGATAATTCGCATAGTAGTATTGATATCTTTTTACATCTTTGCACCATAATTAGAAGGCCAAAATACTATAGTCCTTATTATGGGGACCTCCAAAAAAGTACCCCTAATTTTGGGAAACCTCCATATAATCCTTATGTAAACGTTTAGAAATGGGCCGAGCCACATGTTCGCTTCCACGGACTCCGGCGGGCCCGCCATGATGACGACACTTCCAATGTCAAGAACCTGAGAAACTGCAAATTCCCAAAACATATGCTAGTACGCCACAATGGTAATATTCAATATTAGGTCGGCGGGTGTTTAAACATTAGGGGAGGGGATTGATTGCCTTTGAATGAGGACTGAATTCTCTTGAGTAATTCCCACATTCCTGCACCCCTATTCAGCATAGCAGCCACACGAATACAAGTAAACCTCATACCCTTTACCCATACTGCAGAAGCTCCTACGGCATACCTGGTGGTGCAAATGACTGCTGTAGATTACAAGAACTTGCATGATGCCTTCTCAAACCGACGGCACGCTAGTTATCCTTCGGACATGGAGATAACTAAATGGATTCTAGGTGACTTTTGCAAGAGATGCAGAAAGCATGTTCTGACTGGAGCCCCCCAAAACAGAAAGGAACAAAAATCGGTGTTGGTCGTTTTGCTGTTTTTATGTCCAATGAATAGAATACTCCATTGTCAGGAAACTCCTAAAAAGAGGCTCTAGGGCTGAGCAGAAATCCCTGCGCACCTGCTCCAATATTTCTGCATCTGCCTCTGTGAGGGCCACTCCTGCCATGTGCGGGACAGCTCTGTCGTCCTGTAACATTACAAGATGATCAGGAAGGGAAGCAAGGAATAGGTAAGCCTTGTAGGGAGCTTGGTTAGAGTTTAGGATTTGGGGCTTGTTTACCGGTAACCGCTAGAACAGAAGGGTGTCAGATATGAGCTCGCTACCAAGGATGTGCTTGCAAGACGTTCGGAGCTGAATTAAACGGATGGATGGATTGGATGGATGGGTGGATCCATGGATAGTTGGATTGATGGTTGACTGTAGTCCCCCTCAAGTAGATATTACATGGGGTATATTTTTGGGGTTATATAGGGATACTGGAAAAGAAAATGGACCCTACTATATTATAATAAGGTGCTTCTCCTGAGGTTGCCATCCGCTGCGCAAACTTAGCGAGTCTCTGCACAGGCCTCTAACTGACCACCCCAAACCAGCATTTGCCAACTCACCTGCGCACGCACAAACGCCAAATTCAGATTCTGGGGAGGAGGACGTAACGCCTGTACAGCTGAGGTTGCGGTGTCTTGGCCAAGGACCCAAATATACCAAAGTGCGAGTTTCTCAAGATCCCTTGCCAGCAGGGACTCTGCGGATTTAAAAGGAACTTTGGAAGGTCCTCGTTCTAGATCATTTTGAGAAACACCTAAGTTTGAGTTTATAGGGCAATCGGGCTCGGAACGACACCTCAGAGATCCAGAAGGATAAGTATACGAAATCCGTGGCCCCCCATCCAGTCGCAAGCCTGCGTTGAGGCGCATGTAGAAGCAGGATCCTAGGTGTTGGCTTCGCAGCTTTACCCAGAAACGTGCAAGGGATCCCTGGCTTAAAACACATGCCACACGGTTTAGGGTTTAGGGTTTAGGGTCCAGTGAAGAATTCCTGTATCTCTGCCTGAATAGCTAGATTTCTACTTGGCTTGGGCTGCTCTAACCCTGATCTTCATGATTTCTTTCTGGGCTCCAAGCTTGACATTCCTGCATCAGCTCTGATCTTTCTACACCTAGATTATGGTCACCCCAAGACGTATATATATATATATACATATATATATATATACATAAACATATTTACACATATATATATATATAAATATTTGAGGTACCGTTTGTATACTCACCTACCACAGGTACAACTACAACCCCACTGACAGCC